TAATACCAATAATCCTGAAGATTAAAAATCTCGAGAGCAAAATCGATACATTGATTTCCGCTCAAGAGATGAAAAAGACGGGCATTCCTTATCCATACCCAAGAGAGTGGGAATCAATCCCATATCCGGCGAAGTTCAATCTAATTAACTTCACGCCGTTTAATGAGATGTGTTCACCCACCCAGCATTTGATTTACTTCAAATCGCACTTGGGGGTAATCTCCGGTAATGAGCCTCTGATGGTGCGGTCATTTGTCGGCACTCTTCGCGGAGCCGCCTTCGATTGGTATCGCCGCCTCAAGCCAGGAAGCGTAAATAGCTAGGACGACATGGAGACCAAATTCCTCACCAACTTCTTCGATGACGACACAGAGATATCCATCGGGTCACCGCCATCTTTAAACCCTGATTCTTTGAGTTTTTGTGCTTCGCGGTCGACCGGACCGGTCGACCGCCGAACGGTCAGAATGTTATAACACTAGTTTTTTCAAATGGGTTTTTTGGTCTTTTTGCCTACTTTTAGCTGTTGTATTGGGGTGCTATATATACCCCATTGCTGCTCTTCCTCTAGACAACCAAGAAATCCAAGTTTGTTGTTTAACAAGATATTAATCGTGTTTAAGAGTTGTTTCATTAATCAGTTTTCAAGAGAAGTTTTTCTACAACAAGAAGAGGCTTTCAAATTCTATTGAGATCATCATTTCTTCAGCTCTTCTTGTTCATTGAGAAGTTTTCTAAACTCTTTCCTATATAGCTTTCACTTTCAATTGATTAGCTATATTCATTAAGTTATTTATTGAGTTTGATTCACTATTATCACACACACTTATTGAGCTTGATATTCTCATATTATATATTGTGGGTTGTAGTGTGGGATTTAGTGAGTGTGAGCTTTATTGTGTTCTCACTTGTTAATTGAGAACAAATCATTGTATTTAACTTTTATTTGTGAGAATCACTTGTAATACACTTGTACACCGAGAGAAGTGTGAGGAGAGAGAGACGGGGTCAAATCCAATAGGAGTGGCGTCGATTGACGAACCTAGGGAGAGGTTGTAATCGAGCACTTGAGGAGGAGGACACGGGCTAGGTTCCTACACTCAGTGTGTAAAGTGTGATTGTTGAGTGATTGTGTAGTGTGAGAGTTTTCGGTGAACTTGTAAACCGAGTGTGTAGAAGTTTCGGCTTCCAAACCGGATTGTGATAGTGGATATCTCCTCGAGGTGAGGAGCGGTGATGTAGGTCGTGGGGACCGAACCTCGTAAACGTATCGTGTGTTTGTGTTTTGCTTGTCTCATATTTTATTTGTGCTTATTCTTATTGTTCTTATTGTTCATATCTATCTCTTGCAAGAACATATTGATCTATATAATTTTAATTAGGATTTTATTGGGATTAGATTAGCATAAGACCCTAATCACCCCCCTCTAGGGTCTAACAGAATCAAGCCACCCGTAGTTCATCCAAATGGCCGCCAACGGTCTCAACAATCACGAATGTGCAATAAGTTTCGACAATGATCAAACTTTTTGCTCGGAACCACTTTAGTGAGCATATCTGCCGGATTATCCTTCGTGTGGACTTTAACAATCTCCACATCGCCATCTTCAAGAACATCCCGAACGAAGTGATAACGAACATCAATATGCTTTGTTCTCGCATGAAAAAACTAATTCTTCGCCAAATAGATAGCAATCATGCTATCACAATAAATAGTGACGGATCTCTGCGATATACCAAGTTCCTCCAAAAGTCCTCGAAGCCAAATAGCCTCCTTCACAGCCTCCGTAACTACCATATACTCTTCCTCCGTCATAGACAAAGCCACCGTAGACTGTAAGGTGCATCTCCAACACACCGGCGCACGGATCAAAGTGAACACATACCCCGTCGTAGATCGGCGCTTATCCAAATCCCCGGCATAATCCGAATCAACATAGCCAATGCATAGCTGCCCACCTATAGTGTCCCGCTCATAAACTAAACCAACATTGAGCATACCTCGAATGTACCTTAAAATCTATTCCATGGCGTCTCAATGACCCACTCCTGGATCATGCATGTACCACGAAACCATGCTTACCGCCTGTGACAAATCCGGCCTCGTACATACCATCGCATACATCAAGCTCCCAACCGCGCTCGCATATGGAGTCTTCGACATCAACTCTTGATCTTCAACTGACTTCGGTGAAAGACCAGCTGAAAGCTTCAAATGGGCTCCCAAAGGTACACCAACTAGCTTCGTATCCATGCTAACATGAAATCGCTATAGAACCTTCTTCAAATAAGCCACTTGTGTCAAACAAATCCTGCTCTTCTTCTTGTCTCTGCCGATCTCTATCCCTAGAATGCGCTTCGCCTCACCCAAGTCCTTCATCTTAAACTCATTTGAAAGCTGAACTTTTAATTCATCTATAGCCGACCTGGAAATAGAGGCAACCAACATGTCATCGACATAGAGAAACAAATAAATGTACGCACCTCCTTTCAACTTACGAAAATATACGCAAGGATCAAACTGGCTCCGAGTGTACGAATGACCAATCATAAAACCATCGAATCGCCTATACCACTGTCGAGGAGACTGCTTCAAACCGTATAGCGATTTCTTTAATCTGCAAACCAACATATCTTTCCCTGCAGCTCGGAATCCCAATGGCTAAGTCATATATATTTCTTCATTAAGATCACCATAAAGAAATATTGTCTTCACATCCAACTGATCTAACTCCAAACCATACTGTGTCGCCAAAGCTAGCAGAATCCGAATCGAAGAGTGCTTCACCACCGGAGAGAAAACCTCATTATAGTCAATACCTTCCTCCTGTGCATAGCCCTTCGCAACCAACCTAGCTTTGAACCTCAATGGAGTGCCCTCAATGCCCTCCTTCTTCGTGTATACCCACTTGTAACTAATTGCCTTCCGCCCCTTTGGAAGCTCAACAAGCTCCCATGTATCGTTCTTTTGAAGAGATTCCATCTCCTCCTACATAGCCACCTGCCACGAATCAGCCTCCGAACTCTACTCGGCCTCTCTGAATGTAGTAGGTACCAACTCATCGATACTCTCCACCGAAAGTGCATACGCAACTGTGTCGGCATACCGTGCTGGCATCTGTATGTTTCTCCTCTATCTCTGAACCGCAATCGAATCCTGAACCTGAGTCGTCGGTCCCTGATCCTGCACATCAGTACTCGTATCCTCTGTGTCACCGTCGTGCTCGCCTGGCATCACCTCAGTCGGCACTCTAATGGATACTGTATCATCTGAATAATGTGGAGCTGCATCAATCTCCACCACTTGCGATATCTCTTCCGTCGGGTCGCTCTCTACCTGATGAGAGCTGGGAAGCTTCAAGATAGAAGCCTCATCGAATGTGACGTCCCTACTCAGCACAATCTTCTTATCAACTGAATCCGAAAGCTTGTATCCCTTGACACCACGCTTGAATCCTACAAATATGGCCTTCCTAGCTCGAGGTTCCAATTTATCTGTTCTCACATGATAAAATGCAAGGCACCCGAATACCTTGAGCTGGTCATAGTCATGTGCTGGCTCTCCCGACCACTTCTCCATAGGGGTTTTCCCCTCAATCGCAGATGAAGGCAGCCTATTAATGAGGTGGCTCGCATATATAAGTGCCTCAGCCCAAAAGATCTTCTCCAAACCACTCTGCGACAATAAGTATCGGATCTTCTCCAGAAAAGACCGATTCAACCTCTCTGCCACCTCATTTTGCTGCGGTGTATGATTAACCGTGAAATGTCTCTCTATGCCCTCGTCTCGACATAGCTGCAAAAAGGGGTCTGAAGTATATTCACCACCGTTGTCGGATCTCAACGTCTTGATCTTTCTCCCAGTCTGCAGTTCCAATCTCTTCTTCCACTCCACGAACATATCTAGGACTTCATTCTTCTTCGTCATGGTGTACACCCAACAACGCCTAGAATAGTCATCTACAAAAGCGACGAACCAATGTCTACCACCAAGTGATGCAGTCTTGGTAGGACCCCAAACGTCTGTGTGCACGTAGTCCAGGATGCCCCTCGTCTGATGAATTGCAGTCCCGAACTTTACCTTCGTCTTCTTACCAAGAACACAGTGCTCACAGAACTCAATCTTCTCACTCTTGGCTCCCTTCAATAGCCCCTGCTTGCACAATGCCTGCAGTGAATTTTCACCTGTATGCCCCAATCTATAGTGCCAAAGTCTGCTTATGTCCGCTTCTAAAATAGCCGAAGCAACTTGGCCAATCTCGGTGCTTCCCTTCAGATAATACAAATTTCGATTGCGGACTCCCTTCATCACTACCAATGATCCTTTAGTAACCTTCGCTACAGCGTTTTCCAAAGTCACCTTGAATCCCTTCGCCTCCAAAGCTCCAACTGAGATAAGATTTTTCTTCAGTTGAAGAACAAATCTCACCTCCTTCAACTCACGTACTACTCCATCGTGTATCCTAATCCGTACGGTACCTATCCTACAAACGCCATAGGATTGATCATTTCTCATGACAACAACGCCCCTGTCGACTTTCTCAAAAGATGCAAACCAGTCTCGCCTAGGGGTCACATGAAAAGTAGCGCCGGAATCAAGCATCTAATCTGATGCATCCACATGGTTCACCTCCGGAGTAATCAGTAGAGAAAAGCACGAATCATCGGAATCATCGCCTTTCGCAATATTCACCCTATTGGCCTTCGGGCCCTTTTTCTTGCCATTCTCTTTCTCCTTGAGCTTCGGACAGTCTCTCTTCCAATGTCCCTGCTCCTTACAGAATGCACATTGGTTCTTTGCTAATTGGTGGCGGTTTCTTGACTTTGACCTTCCTCTATTACCACCTTTCGGATATGGGCTTTGTCACGCCCCGGGTCCAAAACGTGATAATTTGGAGCGTGACTCGGTCGGCAATACAACCATACGGTTACATTCACGCCTCTGGATCATCCTGTATACATGTATATTACCAAAGGGACTACTACATAGAGCATGTAACTAAAATAGCAAAGGAACTAGATAGATAAAGAAAACTCTGAAAAGACAAATTTCTCTTACATGTCTACAACTCTTCAAAGTAGGAAAGAGGAAAATACATCTTAGTCTGAAGTACCCCAAGTGATTACAAGAAAGACTCAATAACTGAAGCTGAGAGAGAGAAGATGTCACTGTCGCTGGTCTTAATCCTTAAAGTACTTTTGGTTCTGCGAAGAAAGAACAATTCCCAAGTCTGGGGCATGCAAACCCCAGGGGAGTCAGAAAACTCCCAGCAAGCATGTAAAATGAGAAAATTGTGCGTGTGTAAGTATAAGTGGTAGATATGAAGAAGAAAAATAAATTCCAATTTTTTAGTGATAAAAGAAAATGCTAATCTTATAAATCAAAATAAGATGAAAAACTCAATTAAAGATGATAAAGGAAATTTCTATACCTGGATATCAAACAAGGTCTACCCTAAAGCATACATCTTATACCCTATACTAAAAGGAGGTAAGATTTAGAAACCCGCAATATGAGAGATGAGTACGTCGAGGGAATAATCCAAACAAGGAAACCTTCGTATATACCATATATCTCAAATTGTCGATCTCTAAATATAAATTCCCAAAATTCTATACACAACAATATCAAATATACAACATCCATACTTCATCCAGATCCATACCGTGCATGCCAAATCTATCACAAAGCATAAAAACACATTATTCTTATTTTTACATGTTATTTGAATTAGAGAAGAATATTTTCATGTATATAAATCGGTTCCCCGTAAACCGTCCCGGGAACACGGCTTCAAGTCAGGAATTTGCTCTTTGGCCCATGTATATATATATAACTCAGGATATCAGGAATGCGCATATGCCCGTTTATATACATGTTACATTCTTCGTCTAATTCCCCTTTATAAACCCCATGTTTGTCGATTAAATTTTATATGACTGTGCATGAAATGTTATGCACTAACCACAGAGTTGCCGTGGAACGACTTCTGTAAAACTATGAAATAACGGTGACCCAGAACATGTCTAATCAAGGGGGTTGCATCGTCTAATTGATGCTATAATAGTAATAGCCAAGGAAAAACCTCATATCGGGACATCGATATCGAGGGCATAGCCATGCTATGAAAGACACGCTTATAAATCATATTTTTGACGGAAGTCGTCTTCATGCACAGTCAATCCTATTAAACATCACTAAGTGATCAAGTACAACATCAGCTAATCCAACACGCATCAAGAAACCAACAATATCATCATTATGACCTTCAAAACCTCAGTTAAGACAGAAGTGGAAGACACGTGAAAAAAAAATAGAAGCTAAAAAAAACAAGGACTTGTAGCCGAAATTGATGATAGTGCTTGTTAAAGCTTTGGCGTTTTCTTTTACATTGACTAGCACAAATTTCTATGACTTGTACAACAAACTCTATTGATAAAAGAAGGTTACATTATCATTTTAAAAAAAATTATAACCAAATGCTATAAACTTGTATATGCTCTACTACACAAAGATTTCTCCCTTCCCTCATGCTACGTGTCTTGACTTGATTATATTATGCACTTACCTTGGAGATGCTTGAAATTAAATAAATGTTTTATGCATATAGACACTGACCCCATGCTAAGAATATGAGAGCTGAGCAATTTAGGGAATCCCAATTGAATATTTATCCAGTTTCACTAAGTTATCCCTTGAAATACTAATTTAATTTAATTGCAGATGCGAACAAACATGGTCATTTTATAATCCACATGGATCAAAACGTAATTAGAGACCTAGGCTAGAGTAGAATTGAAACATCAATTTACAAATGCTCCTTTCAGTAAAAGAAGATTATATTATCATTTTAAAAACTTATAACCAAGTAACATGTAAGAAAAAAAATAAAATAAAATAATGTGTACTATAGTTAACCGTGTAGTGAAGTAACAAGAAACCCAACAAAATTAGTCATAGAGTTTTATTTATTTACAGCTCATACCATCAATTTATTTACAGCTCAAGCCATCAAACTAATTACAACGGATGCCATTCAAATTAAATCATGTATACTTATAACATGTTGATAACTTATACATATTAAAATTCATAGAAAAATATATATATATAATCGAGTGGAAAAATAAATTGTTTGCATGAAAAAAAATCAAAAAAAAACTAATTACAACGGATGCCATTCAAATTAAATCATGTATACTTATAACATGTTGATAACTTATACATATTAAAATTCATAGAAAAATATATATATATAATCGAGTGGAAAAATAAATTGTTTGCATGAAAAAAAATCAAAAAAAATAAATAATCTAAAAGTAATAATATTTGAGGAAAAGAATGCTTGCCGATTTGTCGAAAAAACTATGAACCCCAAACGAAAATTCCAAAACTCGTCTCCTTCCCTTCTCTTGTTCTCTGTTGTTCCTTTTCCTTTTTTTTTTCTTTTCGTTTTTTTTGTGTGTGTAGATTTTTATATAGGAAAGAAGAGGTGAGGATATATATATAAGGGAAGGTTAAAATTTAAAAATCCCTAAAATTAAGGAAATTGTTTAAATTGGTAAAACGGGTAAAAGCAAACAAGGAAGCTACAAAAAAATCCCACGTTTTTTTTTCCTGATTTGGGAGCCAAAATCATGGGATTTTGATTTTAAAAAAATTCCAAAAAAGAAAAAGAATCATCTTGAATCTCTTAAATGAAGACATGGGTGAAGTGGGCTTTCTAGGTGGGCCTTTTGAGAACCCTCATTTAAAAAAAAAAAAAACATGATGTGGGCCTATTCATAAAACTTGCTACAAAATAAAATAATTGTGAACCTCCTATAAAGCCTTGTATAAAAATATTGATTATTACAATATTAGTCCATGTGGCCGACTCCAACCTCTACACAAAGGGAACAGGAACCTCACTATCTTCAGCAACCCCGTCATCAATGAAGGGCAATGCAGCACAAACCAGGCCACTAAGTATGTGTATAATACTGGTACACTATGTTAGAGAGTCTTCTAGGCTTTCCTCCTAGCAATGGTTATTTCTTAGACGTCGACAAATTCAGAAGTCAACGCCCTTAAGCCACTCTGTACACAACTTACCATGGTAGTGAGAAGACTCAATAGTCTCCCGTGGGCTAACAAAACAGCTGGGTATACCACCTCAACCAATATCGACTAAACTGGCTTCGATGGCACTACGCACCATTTCAGCCATATCATTAAGAATCCAGCAAGGAGTGCAGTGTCAGAAATAGGTGTTGCGGCTTGGTAATGAAAGCTCTTGAATTCGATACCAGCTTCAAACTCGTACTCTATATGTTTGTTCTTGTAAGTAGCATTTGAAGCCTTAATACGAGCCTTAATGCTATTAGGAGAGATAGCAGCAAGTCGGGTCATGGCCTCATCTTTCTGACTTAAGTTCTGGAAAAGATAGTCCGCCCATGCAGTGTGCATGATACCTCCTCCGCGCATCCTAACGACTTGAGCGCAGATTTGGAAATGGCACATCAGCTCCCTGAAAGTTGCATAAATTTCAAGATGCGACACCCTCAAAATTGAGAGTTTCTCAGTAGTAGGGATAAACTCCTCATAAGGCACCTGACCAAAGGGTAGTCCCGATATTACTTGCATCTCATCTTCCGTAGCGCCATTGATGTCACTAATCGAAGAAGGTAAATATCGTCGAAGGTTCTGCCAAAATTAACGAGAGTTATCGTTCATAGAATCAAGACGAAAGTGGAAAGAGACGAATGACTCCATATTTGACGACACAGGTCTATTTATAACAGCCGTCAAGCTGTTAAAAGCAGTATGAGATTCTAGGAAAGAATCCCAACCATTTAAAATAACATAATCTTCAGCGTTAATGGATAAAGTCAGTTAAACTTTAACCTTAACACAGAGTTCACCTCTGTGTTTTGATCCCCAAACGCTAGGCCCAAACCTACTTTATAAGAGTTCTTAACTCTGCATTTCGAACCTCAAACGCAGAGGTCACCTTTGTGTTCCAGTTATCTAAACTAAGGGTCCACCCTTGCGTTTTTAAACATGACAGTTATTCTCTAAGTTCATGAATTCTTTTAACAAAGTGTTGTTAAACCTCTGTACCACCTCAGTTGGGTTTAAGTTGATTCAGCTGACAAAATTCCTTATTGTCGTCAAGGTTAACACTACACTTTCGACGATCATCATTCCTACAGAATTTGAATTTAGCTTGCATCACTTCCAATATGATAACATTTCCTCTGACAAAATTAACTTATCGACTCTTCCCAATAGAGCGATAGGTCCTCAAAGTTACCCGATCGCAGCATTTTTCCATCACGTTAACATCACACCTCTGACAAAATCAACTAATTGACTCTCACTAATTGAGTGATAGGTCCTCAAAGTTGCCCCGATCGTAGTATTTTCCCATCACGTTAACATCACACCTCTGATAAAATTAACTTATTGACTCTTCCCAATAGAGCGATAGGTCCTCAAAGTTACCCCGATCATAGTATTTTCCCATCACGTTAACATCACACCTCTGACAAAATCAACTTATCGACTCTCTCCAATAGAGTGATAGGTCCTCAAAGTTGCCCGGATCGCAACATTTTCCCATCACATTAACATCATACCTCTGCTGGCCTTCTTGTTTTGATGATGTTTAACAAACAATTTACCACTAATGTTGTTTGTCTAGTATTTGTGTTTTCTTATTTATTATAGACAAACAACATTGTTGGAGGATGGATGGAATAGAGCTTCAACGATCATATCCAAAGGAGGTTGGCGGAATATCGGTGAAGCCTTGCAATTCAAGTTAAAGATCAAGTTCAAGCTTCATCCGCATGTATACCAAGTTGAGCTACAATGAAAATCAAGATCAAGCTTGGGTATATTTAGTATAGGTTTATATTATGTGTGTTATATACTCTAAGCTCAATATTCCTAATCTTGACCAGGTCGTTAAGGTGATAACTATGGCTCCAAAATGTCGACCCCCTAGCTCAGTTAGTCCCTCGTGTATTGCGAATTTAATTTTTGAGGACATGATCTGGAGATTTAGGAAATATGATAAGATATTATTTAAACTAGGTTATGAGGATCAAGTGGGGAAAAAAAAATCAGAATGTGGATTGATGTGAGGATGAGAGATACTTCATATATATCAGATTAAGGTGATAAATAAGGTGGCGTGAAAAAGAAACATATTCGAGATATCAAAATATTAGTTTCAAATTTTAA